CTTTGGACTGTGATAAGGAGTCGAATCGCGCCTAAATTCTATGGGTCTTTTTTCCAAACTTCAACTGGCAACAGGGTACAGCATCGTGATGTGTGAAATGGTGGTATCAGTACGACCCCTCCGCTCCCTTCCTCAACACCTAGCCACCACTTTTCTACAAGTACACAGCTTCGTACCAGTTTTTCACCCGAAAACTTTCCATCGAGCGGGGGAAGGGTGTATACCCAATAAGAAACGGTGAAACGGGAAAAATTCGCGAAAAGTCAACAATCGGAACAATTTTTGGCGCAGTATGCCGACGGGGGGGGCATTTTGCACTTTTGCTACTTCCCATCGACGTGTCGACCTATCTAGACAGCCTCTTCTCGAGTTGACAGGTTTTAACATGATGGCTTGACGACCTTGTTCCAGCTTCACAAGAGTTCACAGGTTTCGCCAGAGTGAGACATGTAAACCGGAACTAAGGAAGCAATGATAGTACAAAATGCCCCCCCCCGTCGACAAACTGCGCCCAATTTTCCCCAACGCCGCTAATTTCCTCAGAACCCCCTTAGCATACGCTCTCCTCCCTCCTCTTCCAACAAAGACCAACTACGCCTCTCTCCCCACCGGCCAAGCACGACCCACATGTGTTTTCACACCATGATGCTTACCCTGACTGGCAAGGCTTTTTAGTCAATATAACTTGCCCAGAGAGTGAATTTTGTCGACTCATTGACTTCGCCGGACGAGTTTGTCCGTGTGTAGTTGGCCAGACGTTTCGACCGTTTCGTCTCTTCGGAGTCCGGGAGATGGCTCAAAGCTTTTGATTCGCGGTTCCCGAAGAAGCACTCTCTCCTCTCTTCCGGTTCCCACGTCATGTTGCGAACACAGCCGGGAACCTAATCATGAGATCTTCGGCCTGTTAAATATTGTCGTTCTCGGGTTTCCCGGAAGTGTTCGTGGCACGACGTTGGAAAAGTCAGAGAGGAGAGGGCGTTTGGTCGGGTAGCTTGCATATCATAAGCTTCGAGCCATCTTCAGGCTGCTGAAGATGAAGAGAAGGTTGAAACATCTGACCAAATAAACTATTCCACCTACAACCTTGTTGGTAGAAGTGAAATATGATTCGGCATTTCGAGTTCTGAAGAACGGATAACCAGGAGATTGAAATTGGAATCCATCTGGGTGGTTGCCATCGAGTTTTCCCGAATCGCCAATACACGCCCTTGCTAGAAAACGCAGGTGCCCCTACAAAGCATTCCTGTAAAAGTTGTCATTTTACTTCCCAGTAAGATATTTCAAGATTCAAAGCTGGAATGGATCTGAGACGTCGTGTGAGTTTTTGGTGAGTCTTGAGCCGTTCCGAAATGTATCCCCTGAGAGCTCGGGCAAGCCTCAACGGCAGTTGACCTTTCACGCATTTTTTTCTCGGCTCGAGTGAAAGTGACAAGTTATGCATCTTCTGTTACTCGTTCAGTCTGTGAGGGATATGAAACGAACGTCTGTTTAACTCCACTATCAACTCATTTTCAGTATGAATACTGCACGTTCAACTATAGGAGAAATTGTATGGGGGGGGGCTGTTTCACTTGCAAGGGTATTATTTGTATTTGGCTTGTTGAGGGCCGTTTGAGTTGAATGTGGGCGTGTCGGAATGGAGGGAGAATCTCTTGTTCCTCCTTCCTCCGGGGAGCTCTTTGGTTGAAAGAATGTGAAGTCGGGTCTTGGTGGGAATTGTTATGGGCGAAAATGCAAGGCGGTGGTTATGCGAATAAGTCCTCCCATCGCGAGGATGTTCTCTGGAAGCTCCCTCGTAGGAAAGAGACCACGGAAAGATAACGAACCGTAAGTGTAGGAAAAGGATCACATCGAAATCTCATCCTACCCTGAGCCCCTCTAGTTTCACGTGCTTTTCTAATATTTTCCCTTGACTTGACTTCGCTAATTGTGTTGTGTCATTTTCATTGCTGAATAAAATTCCTTCAGAGTAGTCCCACCAGCCAGCGATAAATCAGGGAGTACATTTACCAAACCAGCTATAAGGGCACGCAATGGCGATGAGGCTATCTGGTGATTTTCTCCTATGCGACCTGTCCGCTCTTCCCACGTTCCCAACCGGGTACATCATCGTTGTGGAGACACATAGTGTTTCTTCTTAGTCGTAGTTTTGCCTCTAGAAGGGGGGGGGTCGTATGTGCTTCAAGAGAAGTTTTGTGTGTGTTGGAAAAATGTTTTTCCTGGTTGTGGACTTTTCGCGTGTTTTTCCTGTTTCTTGTGTACGATATACCCCCTCCTCCCCCTCCCCGCGACGGAAAATCTTTGGGTGGAAAGGTGAGAAATGTGGAAATTGGTAGTTGGACTGGGTGCTGGAAGGGGTGGTCGCACGAGATCTCATTTAGATGAGGTGGTGGGTTTAACGTATGTAGACCTACATCACCGATTTACACAGTCGTCGATGCTTGCCCTTCCAGATGTTCACACCTACGTTGATAGCCTTTAAATCGTGCCTGTTCTATAATCTTAATCAAATTGGTCTCATTTCCATTTCTTCAGCTTCTATAGCTCCAGACTTTCCTCCTGGCGGTCAATGGCCATCTCTAGCTCAGTAATCGTTTCTCCGCGTCATCCAATACTGATACCATCGAACAGTGGAAAAAAAACGGAAAACGTGGTGTATAAACTGAATTCGTGATAGAAATTGCCTTTGAGTTTCTGTGGGCGGGACAACTAACAAGGCGTTCAGAATTGCCACTTTTGGAAGCCGCAGCGCCTCCGTCACTTACCATCAGTGAAGCCGCGAAAGTGGGATAACTTGGGACTGATGGGTAGACTACTTGTACAAGGAAAGACGCCTCGAGCGTGGGGACTGTCATTAAACTTCATGGCTGGCTTCAGTGTTCTTTTTTGACGTGACCGCAACGACAGGAGGCGCCCTCATTGATCATGAGGCTTTCAGAAAAAGAAAACGAGCCCTTTCTGATATTCGATCTCTCCCAAACATCTTCGACAAAGGCGCTCGTCATGGGACAGCCACTTTAAGGGTTCACCACTCATTCCATATGCAATGGAATCAAGGCGCGTCATGCTATTGGGGGAGGAAGGAGGACCACCCCACCTCCCCTCAAAATTGGTGCGATGGCCATCCCACCTTCCGCCTTCCTGTCCGAACCCTTCCAATTTCCTACCACTTTTCCGGAAATTTTTCTCGCGAAATTCTCCAATTTTCCGGGAACAACTGGCGTCAAACGGGGCGGGGCGGGGTACATCATCGTTGGGGATTCCCCAACAGGGGGATCGTTTTTGGTCTATTCGGTATTTGCCTTCTGCTCTTCTGAGTGGGGCTGCGACTTTTCGTGGTTTTCTGTTTCATATGTACTTTTCCCCCTTCGTCCCCCTCTCCCCGGCACGACAGCTCTATGAGGAGGGAATTACATAGAGAGGGGGGGGGGCTCGCACGGACTCGACCAAAATCCCCAACCGGTGACGTGCCCTGGACGATGGAAGGGGGGATAAAGGTGCTCGCACGTGAAACGGGAAAACTATGAGAAGCCAACAACCGGAAATTTTCTCTTTTTTTAAGCAGATGCTATCCTAACCCTCCAGCAACCGAACGCAACCCCATTGCCCCGCGGTGGTAATTTGCATCCATCTTCTTCTTCTTTCGGATGATCCTCTACTGGTTTGCCTTACTGAAATCGTTCCAGAATTTTTAAATAAACATGACTTTTTCTATCATGTTGATTTTTTATGTTTTGTTTCGCATTGCTGAGCGTTGCTGAGCGCGAAAGATGCTGAATTCCATCAGCAACTGACACATGCTCTGCGGCTAATCTGTGTAATGAACGTCATTCAAGTAAACATGTGCGTGAAGTCGCCTCATGCTGAACTCCTCGGTTTTTCTTACTTCATTGTTCTCCTCACACTTATCGATTGCTGTGTAGCTTTATTGATTTTTCCGTGAGATTCTCGTTTCTCTATGAAATCGTTGAAATATGTTTTGTTGAAGAGTACTTCTGGCAAGGGAATCAAATTCGTTACAATAATGGATTCGCCACCCGATCTCTCACCAAACGCACCGCCATCCGGTTTTGACGACACCAACAATTATTTCGCCAATCTACAGGTAATCTCATTCATGGTTTCCGCTGACCATTAGCAATCACAATTGGCCCAGAAAAAGAATGCTGCGTTCGGAATTGGATGCTCCAGATTTGAAAATAAATAAAGTACGCATAAAAATAAAAGAATATCAAAGTTCCAACGATATTGAGGATATAGAAATGTGCCCATGTTGCCGAGGATCCTGCCCCGCCCAATGTTGCCTGTGATTTGATCTGTGGGTGGGGCTCAGGGCACATCATCGTTGAGGATTTCCCCGATAGAGAGGAGGGGGGGGGGTCGTATTTGCCTTCTGAGTTCGCCGCGTTGGGAAAAATTTTTCTCGGCTGTTCACTTTGGCGGTTTTTCCTGTTTCCTATGTGTTGCATACCCCCGCCCCGCTCGACAGCGACTAGGGGAATAAGGTCAGTGAATTCTTCGAGGAGATTCCGAGAGGAAAGACTAGGAGAAGAAAAAAGTGGTAGGAAGTTGGGGGAAAATCTAAGAAAGTGGTGAGTGGGACGGTAGGCTGGGGAGGGGGGAGTTTCCTCGCGGTTTCCCGTTCCACACATGCCCATACAGCCTCCCCCCTCGACAGCTCGATCATATCAGAGGAGGGAACTAGAGGAGTCGTATCAAGCCACTCTCTAGGAGGGGAGGTTGTGCGGAATCGACCAAAATCCCGAACTAATGATGTGCCGTGATGGGGCTCGTTCACTATGGAAAACAGAGACGAGAACTCAAATCCTAACGAAATCGACGGAAGCAGCTGAACTTCAAACTTCTTGTCGCTCTCACCTTGAACGGAATTGGAGCTAGTCTTCGCAAAAATCTAAGTTGTGGCGCTAAAGTCGCGACCACGGACGGGTTCGCCCTCCGTATGCTTCTGCTTAACAGTGCAGTTTGGCGTTCCCTATTACGCTTACTGGGCGACACTTTTGAACTCTCAGGCTCAAATGGCTCAAATAGCGGTCTGCGTTAATTAAGGAACGCAACTGCACTGTAAGCAGAAGATACGGTTTCGAGTCCCGTCGTGGTCCGACTTCTGCCCACCACTCAGCATTCTTGTGATAGCTTTCGGATCGGCTAACTGGTCTGTTAAACGCGGTTATCAGAACAGAAACAGCTTGGAATTGGCCCTATAAATTTAATACTTATTTTGTAGATATATTCTCTATTAGGCGGATGTGATTAGTGACAAGTGGCACGCTTACCACGCGCAATCAGACCTACCCTCCGGGACCGTGAATCGGTACCAGATTAGCCTAGGAGAACAGAAATACTGACTTGGTACATCGGCTGGCCTCCACAAGTCACGGTACATACAACATCGAAATCATAGACACACTACGATTCTGAGTGGGAGTAGTATGCGCACTGCTCCGGCAAAGGGATTGACCCACGGCAAAGACTTCATTCTTCATGCTTTCAGGGTTGCTGAAACCACTGATTGATACGCTATGATTCAAGACGAGTAGGAAGAGTACTACTCGGACCTTCAAATTTCTAAAGGCACATTCCATGTTGGTCGCATGGGCGGAGCCGGGTCTACCGCCGAGCTTTCTTTGCTGATGTGCACTCTTCTTGAAATATCATGGAGAGCGTTAGCATCAATGAAAATGACTGACCGCTTGACTCATCCGCTATTACGGAACCTCTCTTCGAAATCCAGCTCTGTGAAGCGGAATGGTAGAAGTCTAAAGCGTATCAAACCCTGTTACAGGGGAGAGCAAAGCTTCCCTCGACAGGGCAAATTTTTTTCTGGTAGCTCATGGGAGGTAACTACCGCGTCCTCCCACGTCGTCTCGCGGCGAAATTGTGGGAAAGACTGATAATACGGTAAGTAGGTTGTGGAGGGGCAAAATTTTGAGGTCATTGTTTTGGCCATGTTTAGTAAAACCACTGCGACTTAGAAGACGATTGTGGGGCGCCTCCAAAAAGGAGCGCAGTACGGCTAGGTGGGGCGCTTGACTGGTTCTTATCGGATCCTGTGGAAATGCGCATGCTTTGTGAAAACTTGTAAATTGCTGTGACTTCTTTTACACAAGTCACAGGTCTTACCAATGTGAATATAGCTCAATAAAAACTAGTAACACAAATTAGCGAAAGTGCAGAATGCCTGCTTCCCCCTCCTCCAAAGCCGAACAGCGCCCCAAAAAGGGATCTGAAGCCTTATATCTGGGTGACGCCTAAATTCAGCGCGCACCATTCAAGGCTGTTTATTTGGAACGCGAAATGAAACAAAAATCTGTTTTGGGCGAAAAAAGTTCTGTTACATAATCACGCTCGTGCAGCATAATAGATGCCATCCCGAAATTTTCTAACATATCAAATTTAGGCACCTCCCGCTCCACCTTCGAGCACATCCACTGGCCAAGCTTCTACAGAGGGATCAGTGGATTCCAGTGGCTTTGAAAAGGTCCCATCTGGATCAATTTTTTATCCCTAAAAACATGTTACCAATAAAGCATTAATTCTAGGTGGATCATGATGTTCTGGAGGAGTACGGTCAACAGTTCGTGAATCAAATGCAGCAGGCATTGTTTGGTAACCTGCCTGAGGAAATGGACGCTGCCGTAAGTCAATGATGCGTTTTGTCGGTAAATATTTGCACTAGCGTCGCCTTATCAGATTATTTTTTTAAAATTTTTTGGGCTCATTCATAGGAGTTTCGCTGGTTTTGAACCATTTTTTGAGTTCTCACTTTTCTTGTCTGTTGTCTATAATATGCATAAGGACTTACAATGACTCAGGACAGCAATCACTAGCGGTCTTGCATCACTGGAAAAGGACCCACCTCCGGTGGTCTGAGCCGTCCGGAATTGGCCTACTTTTTCCCAAAGTTACAGATTTTCTCTCGTTGTCCTGAGTTTGATCTTAATGAGATTTTGAGTGACTAATCATTATCTTTCTGCTCATCTCGACCTCGTTTGCTTTCCTTCATTGTTGAAAGTAAGTTTTTTTCAAGAAAGTTGTTTTTTTTTCAAGAAAAGTTGTTTTCTCAGTAGGCTGCACCCTACCTGGAAACTGTATATGAATCAGGGCTGTAGTTTGACTTGATAGGGGGGGGGGAAAACCAAATAGTAGCTTCGGGTATGTGAACAAAGAGGATCGTAATTTGGCCGCGGATGCTGGCGTTCGGCGTGCGACGTCCCCGCCGCAAAAGACGATGGTTTCAGGCAGCAGAAGGCGACAACATGCAATTAAGGACTGAAAACAGTAATGAGTGTCTACGATGACGGGGTCTACATGAAGTCCGGTGCTTCCATTCGACAGGTTAAAACGAGTTATGAAAACGCCGCGCCCATCGCCGCGCGTGGCGGTGCGGCGAATTACGATCCTCTTTACCGTCTCCCCAATTTCGCACTTTACAGTACAGGTCTCACCTAAGTGTGACCTATTAATTTGACATAAGGCTAGCATAAGTGAGCTAGCAAGATCTAATAATGCGCCCCTGCCTAAGCCAAACTGGGCGCCGAATTATGCGTTCGTCTGTCGTTCGTTCCTCGGAACTCCAGGTACGGCTACTCTAAGCGCCACTCCTCCGTTTCTATGTGAGGATGGGTGAAACTGCAGTCGCCACTTGTCATAACAATGAGGTGGAAATGGTCCAGTGGAATTGAGACCGAGTTTTTTATTACTACTTTTTTTCGATTACGACAGAAGCATTCGAGCGTTGTCACTCACGTTTATTATTCACATATACATATTACCGACATATTGGAAAAGAACCGCAAATTTTAGGGGAAGGGGGTCGATGAATTGCTGCCACCCGCGCCGGTTTGCGGAGGCCCGTAAGGTCCTATGTAGCTGTAGAGATGGTAAAAACGTCATTTCCACCTAACTTTTTCTTGCTCTTATCTTATTGGGAAGGTGCGAAGAAATGCTTGTGAACCAGGCGGATGGAGATATTTGTGAAGAGGTGGGTTTGGGGTGGCTGGATCACTTCATGCAAAAGTTGTTTGAGAGTGAAACTTGTGACATCTGTGGGGAAATGATCCGACTTTCCGTAATGTTTTTTCGATCATTTGCTCTTCCTTTTTTCCCCAATTTCATACTTCCACGGATGTTCCCAGGGGTTTACCAAACGCTCCCTATCAGTCAAACAGTGCTGGGTCCGCTATGGTAGTGCGTGTGTGAGCCTTGTTCGTGTCACTGGCCATCATCCACCGTCTCGCAAAACTTCAGACACCATATTCATACAGTGCCATTTCTTATAGCACCTTCCACTGTGCTTTAGCTCAAACCGTTAACTGTGGATAGCAAAACGTGCTGCTCCTACAGTAGACAGCCTGGCGCTACCTTAAAGGCAGTTGGCACGGTAAAATCCTAAGACGAGTTGGATTCATACACCCGGCAGGACGGAGTTCCACGCCCCTGAGTAGGCGCTGCGTAGCCCCTTTTTCTGGGGAAGTCACCCTTATAAGGTCCTGTCAAGCTGCAACATACCGACCCTGACGCCCAGCGCGCCTGCCCGCCCCTCGTCTGCTAA